GTGCTTAAATGAAAATAAATCAATAAAATTAGTCAAATTAAGCATAAATCATGAAAGAAACAACAATATTTTTCAAGTTTTCTAAAAATTTCCTTAATTACATGTCTTCTACATAGCTAAATGTATGAAAAATGGATCCGCCAAGGGTGGAATACATGTTTTTCAATATTACATATTATTACATGTAAATATAATAAAGGTCAAATGTCATACATGCAGTTCAAGGTCATTACAATAATTTATGAAAAAAAATCAGAAGCCAAAGGTCACAACAGTTAAGATATCATCAAGTTGAAATTCTACCTGTCTGGTCAGCAGGTCTAAGGGAAGTAACTCTAAGTACAAAAACTAGAAACCATTAGAAAGTGAGTCGCAGCGAGTAATTCTGATGAAACTACAAATAGCGAAAAAAGAGAAAACATAGACCTTTGTGTAGCTACAACATAGAAACAACAAAACTACAAATTGATCACCCTGCAGCCAAGAAAGGGGGGGGGGGGGGGGGGGCAATCCAGAGGAACACACACACTACCAAACATGAGATGACAAGACAGAAAATGTCCTCCTTTCACTTGTCCATCACAAAAATTCCTTTTATGTGCCACCTTAATTATTTGAAAAAATGCCAAAAGTGCAAAAGTCCAAGAAACTAAGAAAAAATGAACACCAGGTCACTGTCCTACACTTCCATAATATACACAGATAGAGTAAAACATAATAAATACACAGTCACATGTACATGCAAAATACATACATAAATCTATTCATATATACAATCATTCATCTTAAGGACAATCTAATACATTTTCTTAACTTACCTTCCTCCTCTGACCATGTCAACTGTACAGGGCTTTACTAAATTCTATCTTCTCTTACCCCCCCCCCCCCCCCTTCTCTCTTCAAAAGACCCAAATCACCACTAACCCCATTACCGCAGTAAACTAATTCAAATTTTTGCTAAATTTTCTCTCGAAATGTCATCAATCTTCAAATAATTAGCTAAAAATAACATTTCATGACTTTCAAATCACTTTACAGTGTAAAAATTGGGGTCTCTATAGGGAAAAGACCACTAATTATTTTCCCATAGAACTCCATACAAACCTTAGGCCCTCTCAGTACTTTACTATGACAATTTCAGAAAAATCTTTAGCATCATTTCAAACTTTGTTCTAAGCCCTAACAAAAAATACTGAAAAAAATATATGGTCCCATTGCGTTTATAGGTCAAAATTGCAGTTATTTTCAACTTATAGAGATTCGCAGTAAATAACACGCGACATAAAAAATCAACCCCCACTCCTAAAATCTTCCCTGGTATTTCTATAGTTTCTGTAATATTCCCTCATCCCATCATTTATTTCAAAGGTCATTAATTTTACTTTAAAATGAAAACAATTAAATACCTGATTTCAGCCAATGGCGTAACGCCTACCCATTCAGTACTCTGTTTAATGTTCCATAACAAACAAAGCCATGTGTTCATCCGGGGATTTGGTGCTCTCATTCCTATACTTACATACTTACCTGTCCCAGAATTAGTCAATTGGGGTAATTTCAAAGACTATACACCTACCTGTGAACATGTATGAAATTTGAGTCCTGTGACTTCAGTGTATTGGATACTGTGACCATCTCAAATGATGACACCTTACTGCTACCAGCACAGTTCAAAGGAGTGAACGACGTCTGGGCCGGTGATGATATTTGGATATATTGGTGACTGTAATAAATAAAATATTTGTACAATGAATTGTTTTTGTGTTTTAATGTTAATAAAGTGATATTAAGTCAAAATTGAGTCAATAATTTCATAAGGGTGGATTCTACCCAGAATTAGGTAAAAAGCTCTAAAATTGGATAAATCATAGTTAATTAAGCAAAATTCAAAGGTTTTAAAAAGACTGATATAGAATTTTTTTTATGCTTATGCAAAGTAAATTATTTAAGACTCTGATATACTAATTGATTCTTATCTAATCCCTTCTATTGCTTAAGTATGTACAAAAAGGTTTCCCCACCCCCCAGTGAAAAACACTTAAAGAAATAGCAGGTGCCCCCTTTTATTTTTGTTTACAATTAATTTAGACAAGAGTAAATCAATCCTTTTGATAACAAATCAAAGTTCAATATCTATAGTCTTATACATTACAATCAGAAGCTACTTTTTGAATTTCATGCTAAGAAAAGGAGAATTTAAATATTTTTTTTTTAAAATTAAAGAAAAGCAAAAACTGACTTCAACCCCCAAAATGTACTATACAATAAGAGGCTGGAAAGTTAATAAATAAAAAATTTACCTGCAATATACAGAAAACTGTCCGACAAAATACATCGGGTGGGTAGGGAGTCTCCATTTTCTTCTTATATAGAGAAAATGCCCCTGCTGATCAGAGACCGAGCACTCCCGGGGCCAAGAAAGCTGAACGATGAAATTCCTCTAAAGTGCTTAAATGAAAATAAATCAATAAAATTAGTCAAATTAAGCATAAATCATGAAAGAAACAACAATATTTTTCAAGTTTTCTAAAAATTTCCTTAATTACATGTCTTCTACATAGCTAAATGTATGAAAAATGGATCCGCCAAGGGTGGAATACATGTTTTTCAATATTACATATTATTACATGTAAATATAATAAAGGTCAAATGTCATACATGCAGTTCAAGGTCATTACAATAATTTATGAAAAAAAATCAGAAGCCAAAGGTCACAACAGTTAAGATATCATCAAGTTGAAATTCTACCTGTCTGGTCAGCAGGTCTAAGGGAAGTAACTCTAAGTACAAAAACTAGAAACCATTAGAAAGTGAGTCGCAGCGAGTAATTCTGATGAAACTACAAATAGCGAAAAAAGAGAAAACATAGACCTTTGTGTAGCTACAACATAGAAACAACAAAACTACAAATTGATCACCCTGCAGCCAAGAAAGGGGGGGGGGGCAATCCAGAGGAACACACACACTACCAAACATGAGATGACAAGACAGAAAATGTCCTCCTTTCACTTGTCCATCACAAAAATTCCTTTTATGTGCCACCTTAATTATTTGAAAAAATGCCAAAAGTGCAAAAGTCCAAGAAACTAAGAAAAAATGAACACCAGGTCACTGTCCTACACTTCCATAATATACACAGATAGAGTAAAACATAATAAATACACAGTCACAATGCAAAATACATACATAAATCTATTCATATATACAATCATTCATCTTAAGGACAATCTAATACATTTTCTTAACTTACCTTCCTCCTCTGACCATGTCAACTGTACAGGGCTTTACTAAATACTATTTCACAACTATACACAAAGGCTGAAAGTTAATAAAAAGTCAAAGAATTCAAAATTACAGAAAACTTCCTAAATACATGAAAATAAATCAATAATCAATTCTGGCTCTTACACAAATTTTCTAAATTTTTATCATATAATGCTACACCCCTGCAAAATCTCAGTGCTTAAATGAAAATAAATCAATAAAATTAGTCAAATTAAGCATAAATCATGACAACAATATTTTTCAAGTTTCTAAAAATTTCCTTAATTACATGTCTTCTACATATAAAATGAAAAATAGCCAAGGGTGGAATACATGTTTTTCAATATTACATATTATTACATGTAAATATAATAAAGGTCAAATGTCATACATGCAGTTCAAGGTCATTACAATAATTTATGAAAAAAAATCAGAAGCCAAAGGTCACAACAGTTAAGATGTCATCAAGTTGAAATTCTACCTGTCTGGTCAGCAGGTCTAAGGGAAGTAACTCTAAGTACAAAAACTAGAAACCATTAGAAAGTGAGTCGCAGCGAGTAATTCTGATGAAACTACAAATAGCAAAAAAAGAGAAAACATAGACCTTTGTGTAGCTACAACATAGAAACAACAAAACTACAAATTGATCACCCTGCAGCCAAGAAAGGGGGGGGGGGGGCAATCCAGAGGAACACACACACTACCAAACATGAGATGACAAGACAGAAAATGTCCTCCTTTCACTTGTCCATCACAAAAATTCCTTTTATGTGCCACCTTAATTATTTGAAAAAATGCCAAAAGTGCAAAAGTCCAAGAAACTAAGAAAAAATGAACACCAGGTCACTGTCCTACACTTCCATAATATACACAGATAGAGCAAAACATGATAAATACACAGTCACATGTACATGCAAAATACATACATAAATCTATTCATACATACAATCATTCATCTTAAGGACAATCTAATACATTTTCTTAACTTACCTTCCTCCTTTGACCATGCCAACTGTACAGGGCTTTACTAAATTCTATCTTCTCTTACCCCCCCCCCCCCTTCTCTCTTCAATAGACCCAAATCACCACTAACCCCATTACCGCAGTAAACTAATTCAAATTTTTGCTAAATTTTCTCTCGAAATGTCATCAATCTTCAAATAATTAGCTAAAAATAACATTTCATGACTTTCAAATCACTTTACAGTGTAAAAATTGGGGTCTCTATAGGGAAAAGACCACTAATTATTTTCCCATAGAACTCCATACAAACCTTAGGCCCTCTCAGTACTTTACTATGACAATTTCAGAAAAATCTTTAGCATCATTTCAAACTTTGTTCTAAGCCCTAACAAAAAATACTGAAAAAAATATATGGTCCCATTGCGTTTATAGGTCAAAATTGCAGTTATTTTCAACTTATAGAGATTCGCAGTAAATAACACGCGACATAAAAAATCAACCCCCACTCCTAAAATCTTCCCTGGTATTTCTATAGTTTCTGTAATATTCCCTCATCCCATCATTTATTTCAAAGGTCATTAATTTTACTTTAAAATGAAAACAATTAAATACCTGATTTCAGCCAATGGCGTAACGCCTACCCATTCAGTACTCTGTTTAATGTTCCATAACAAACAAAGCCATGTGTTCATCCGGGGATTTGGTGCTCTCATTCCTATACTTACATACTTACCTGTCCCAGAATTAGTCAATTGGGGTAATTTCAAAGACTATACACCTACCTGTGAACATGTATGAAATTTGAGTCCTGTGACTTCAGTGTATTGGATACTGTGACCATCTCAAATGATGACACCTTACTGCTACCAGCACAGTTCAAAGGAGTGAATGACGTCTGGGCCGGTGATGATATTTGGATATATTGGTGACTGTAATAAATAAAATATTTGTACAATGAATTGTTTTTGTGTTTTAATGTTAATAAAGTGATATTAAGTCAAAATTGAGTCAATAATTTCATAAGGGTGGATTCTACCCAGAATTAGGTAAAAAGCTCCAAAATTGGATAAATCATAGTTAATTAAGCAAAATTCAAAGGTTTTAAAAAGACTGATATAGAATTTTTTTTATGCTTATGCAAAGTAAATTATTTAAGACTCTGATATACTAATTGATTCTTATCTAATCCCTCCTATTGCTTAAGTATGTACAAAAAAGTTTCCCCACCCCCCAGTGAAAAACACTTAAAGAAATAGCAGGTGCCCCCTTTTATTTTTGTTTACAATTAATTTAGACAAGAGTAAATCAATCCTTTTGATAATAAATCAAAGTTCAATATCTATAGTCTTATACATTACAATCAGAAGCTACTTTTTGAATTTCATGCTAAGAAAAGGAGAAATTAAAAATTTTTTTTTAAAAATTAAAATTAAGCAAAAACTGACTTCAACCCCCAAAATGTACTATACAACAAGAGGCTGGAAAGTTAATAAATAAAAAATTTACCTGCAATGTACAGAAAACTGTCCGACAAAATACATCGGGTGGGTAGGGAGTCTCCATTTTCTTCTTATATAGAGAAAATGCCCCTGCTGATCAGAGACCGAGCACTCCTGGGGCCAAGAAAGCTGAAAGATGAAATTCCTCTAAAGTGCTTAAATGAAAATAAATCAATAAAATTAGTCAAATTAAGCATAAATCATGAAAGAAACAACAATATTTTTCAAGTTTGCTAAAAATTTCCTTAATTACATGTCTTCTACATAGCTAAATGTATGAAAAATGGATCCGCCAAGGGTGGAATACATGTTTTTCAATATTACATATTATTACATGTAAATATAATAAAGGTCAAATGTCATACATGCAGTTCAAGGTCATTACAATAATTTATGAAAAAAAATCAGAAGCCAAAGGTCACAACAGTTAAGATATCATCAAGTTGAAATTCTACCTGTCTGGTCAGCAGGTCTAAGGGAAGTAACTCTAAGTACAAAAACTAGAAACCATTAGAAAGTGAGTCGCAGCGAGTAATTCTGATGAAACTACAAATAGCGAAAAAAGAGAAAACATAGACCCTCCTTTGACCATGTCAACTGTACAGGGCTTTACTAAATTCTATCTTCTCTTACCCCCCCCCCCCCCTTCTCTCTTCAAAAGACCCAAATCACCACTAAC